TTCTCATGAGACCCCCCTGCAGTCCTGCATCCAGCTCTGGGGCTGCTAGCACAAGAGGGATGCGGAGCTGTTGGAGCCAGTCCACATGAGGCCACAAAGATGCTCAGAGGGCTGGAGCACCTCTACTATGGAGACAGGCTGTGAGAGCTGGGCTTGTTCAACCTGGAGAAGACTCCAGAGAGACCTTAGAGCAGCTTCCAGTGCCTAAAGAGGCTGACAAGAAATCTGGAGGGACTTCTGACATGTGCCTTCAGGGACAGGACAAGGGGGAATGGCTTTAACCTGAAAGAAGGTATATTTATATTGTACCTTAGGAAGTTCTTCCCTGTGAGGATGGTGAGGCCCTGGGCACAGGGTGCCCAGAGAAGCTGTGGCTGCCTCATCCCTGGCAGTGTTCAAGGCCAGGCTGGACACAGGGGCTTGGAGCAACCTGGTCTAGTGGAAGGTGTTGCTGCCCATGGCAGGGGGATTGGCACTGGGTGAGGTTTTAAGGACCCTTCCAACCCAAACCATTCTGTGATTCTGTGGTTCTATGAAAATTGCACCTGTGTACGGAAATCTCAGGCTAGATTCCCTTCAACAGCAGGGTGCTGTGTCACACTAATAGTTAATGTTATTAGCTAGGAAATACAGTATTCGCATTTACCATTCAGCTTTAGTTTTGGACTCTCGTCACTCAGATCCTGAGGCCTGGGGAACTTCCAGCAGTGACCTGCACGCATCTGCAGTGGCTGGAGTTAGTCACTAGAGGGTAGAGGTGTATATGGATTTAAGGCACTGCTCTAAATAGCTGGAAATGATAATATTTGCCTTGGAAGTAGGAAATGGCTCAGCTGCTTAAAACATGTAAAATGAAAACAAAGCATGATCAAGGAGTTTGTTAATTCCACCAAAATGTTTAATACCATAATAGATTTTCATTGAAGTACAGAGCTAATGTGAATATTTGTACAAAATATGTGGTTAAAAATAGTATTGATTTATAATATATACAGATATGTCACATCTGTGTCAGAAATGCAGACACTTGAACGAAAATATGAGTAATGCTTTTAAATCTACAACAACATACATGAAATATTTCTGCAGCTACCCACAGCAGGACAACTTGCCAAACTGACACTTAAGGATCCAACAGTCATTACAGATGGCGTTTCTTTCAGAAGTTTCTGAACAAGAACTTTGCTCTAAAATGGATTCAAAACATTTACCTTCATTAACCAGACAGTGAAGAGAACACACCTGTGTGGCACTAATGTAGACACAACTTTCCTGTACTAGTTAAATGATCAATTACAACAATTTGTTAAAACAAGGCTGATTTTCTGGTGTAGAGAAGAGAAATTTAATCCTCCTTGCTGGATGCTCTGGTGAGTGAGGAAGCCCCAGCTCAGGGACAGCAGATGGGCCCTTCTTAATAAATTCTTATTTGTAAAACCAAGTTTCGTGAATTTACATCCTGAAGTCTATCTTCAAGGTTGTAATATCTTTGTTTTTCATTAACTTTGGGGCTGCTCACACTTCACAGCCTTCCCAGCCTCACTCCAGCAAGAATCTCACTGACAAGTGTCAAGCTTTGTAGCTACTGCATCGGTACACAATCCTCTATTAAGATAACTCTTAGCATAGCCCCAGAATCTCTGTGTGGTAATTGAACAAACTGACAAAGGGGAGAGACGAATCAAGGCCATTTTTTAATACTTTCTGAGCATCTCTGGAGTGGAGGCATTCAGGGTTCTTGCCCTTCCTTTGGGAGTGCTGCTGCTGTTCTACCTCAGTGCAAACTTCTCTCCAAGCCAAAGCAAATATACTCAACACTTCAAATAGACATGTGGGAAAGAGCTTTTACAATGCTTCCTCCCTTGTAATTTTAACCCTGAATGCTGCAGTCTACTTGTATTTAAAAAAAAAAAAGAGCACAGCTTATGTTAGGAAGAAAATCTCCTTTTAAGAGAAGCCTGGAATATGTGAAAGCTGCTGTGCTCCCCCCAGATGATGTGCTAAACCAGGAAAAGCAGTGTTCTGTTTTGGGGTGGGTTTTTTTAGGGTAGCATACCTAGTTCTTTGAGAGCATTGCATGAGGATGAGAATAAATGAGGGGCTGACTGGGGCTTTAATGCGTACCTGGTTTTACTTTTTGGTAAAACAGAACTAGAATTTTTTAGAGAGAGGGGAATTAAGGAAATGCAAAGGTCTTAAATTCATATTGGTAGATGAGATCAAGTCTTAAAGAGCTCAATGTTGAGTGGTAAAATGTTTACCACTAAAGAAGAAACAGAAATAAATTTAGTAAGGGTTCTTTAGAGGATGTGATCTGAAAGCACTGTAACTGTAGTCAGGATGCCCACAACAACCTACAGAGGCACTGAAGCTCACTTCCAAGTGCACAGGCCAGTGCCAAGCAAGAGGGAAGAGCCACAACTGGTATGTAGGCAATGCAGCATTTCAGGGAGCAGTGGAACAGCCTTACTGTAGTTAGAAAGTTCACTTGTTACTCAAAAGTAAAAAATAAATTGGGCCTCCTATAGTATATTTTGCTTCTGAAGAACACTGTGAGAAGACAACTATTGGGGTTTTTTTTCAATCAAAATATAGAGGCTAAGGTCTGTCTCTTCAAAAGGAAGCAGGGAGCTCAGAGCTTACATTTCTAACAAGACTGCTAAGCAGATCTAACTTTCAGAATCATGAACAATCATCCTTTGAGAAGCAATGTCTTTTATGCCAGGCACCCAGACAAAACCAATTATTTTCCCAAATGCATATCCAAGTGATGAAATACAAGAATTTTACAAGACAATTAACCATCAAATTCATCTCCTTGTTTGCAATCCACTGCAAGGTCCAGTACAAATTGACACAAGAGACGACAAACAATTACTTTTAATTTTTGTAATATTTAATGTTAACAGAACCTTTTCCCCAGCCTGGATGGCAGCTGGTTACCATCCATGTTCCTCACTCAAGCACTCGTGCCCACTGCATTTACCAGTTACTATAACAGCACAGTAAGAACCGCATCAGCTGCCAGGGATGTGCTTTTGCCCAGCAGAGATTGTGCTCTGTTCTTTTTTTTTGCATACAAAATCCACAGCAAACCAGTGCAAGCTCACATCACTCTGTGAAACTGCACAGTTTAAAACAGAACATGGCATATCCTGCCAGCAAGAGGGCTGCTTCCCCCCTAATTGATACTGAAACAGAGTTTGGCCTAGATCACACATTTAAGCATTTTCAGTTCTACCAGTTAGGAGAGCAGTGGTATGTACCACACTAGTCAGTTAATAATACTTTAAGTCTTTTAAATGATGCTTTTCAAAATGCCAACACAAGCAGAACACAAAAATATTGTTTGCCATATTTATTCGTTTAAACTAAGCTCTTATACAAGTGTAAAAGTGATTAATTAGCCAATAGCTTTGCAGTAGTCCTATAAAATATGACTAAATAGAATATTTCAAAAGTATGTACAATAGAATGGAAATGCTCACATAAACCATCAGTGCTCAGACATGCCACTGTCATCAGGTCTTGCAAGATGGTTTAGTCTGTCACTTTGTACAGTCTTTTTGAAGAAAACTTTTTTACTGTTACTAAATAGGAAGGACTGGGGGAAAAGACCAAAATACAAATAAACCCATCCACCCCCACGTGATTTCATATCGATTAAATGTTAAATAATTTATGCATGGGGCACATTTTCACACTGTAAAGCACCCTGCAATAACTATGCCTGTAATCGTGTTACAGTTGAGGAAGGGATGCTGTTGCCATGTTTTCTTGCTGAAAACAAAGTGTGCTTGAGGGTGTATGGGTACATTAGGAAGGGGGGAGTTTGTACTACCTCGTCTTCATTACAAAAATCAAGGCCACAGAAATTCTTCTTCCAATCCAAAAGCACAAAGATACCCTTTTGCCATGCACTGTAAATGTTTTCATGCTTTTAACTGTACTTAGGAAGTCATTAAAATTTTTATCTTGTATCTGCAGAGGTGAGAAAGGACAAGCAGGCAGCAGGCAACAGAAATAGCAGCTGTACTCCCTGATTCCCTGCCTTCATTTCCAAGCAGCTGAAGCCATGTCCACCCAACAGCAGGCCCCAGGGCACTGCTGCCAGCTGCTCCCACAGGCTCCTGATTCAGAAATGACACTAGAAGGATGTCCCCTACATTACTGTCCAATGGCAGATGTAATGTAACAGAGATTCCGTTCTTTTAACACTGTGGACACCCTGTGAAAAGAGTATGTCAGGACTGAGCTTGTAGGTGCTACATGAAAGAAAATGCCCACTGAAGTAAGCAGAGGCTCTGCCTGTGCATTACTGAATTAAACAGGACAGCCTCTCCTCCAGATGGTCATTGTGTTTTTAAAGAAGCCTTTCTTCTGTGATGGCAAGAACATGCCTCTAGCAAAATACCAGGTTGCCTCAAGAGGTAAGTGTCACAAAAGCTGCTACTTTTATGATGGGGACCTTTTTCCATAATACCTGAAAAGATTTTCTGTGTTGACCATTATTTTATCACGAAAATGTGATCTATAAGCTTTGACCATAGTAACAACAGGCTTCTTTGAGTTTTCAGGTTTGTAGTTGTGTTTCTATTGTACACTTCACTCAACGAGCCATTACACGGGACTTGTTTTTAAATCTGTCTGAAAATGCACTTTGAGAAAAGCACATGTAAGATCCAATGCTTTAATTTGCAGTATAGTTTTGAATCACCTGAGGCCAGAGCCTAAATTCCAGAACCAAGTCTCTTTGAAGTTCAAGTTCATGGATACAAGGATAAGATTTGGCTTCCAATGCTTCTGAATGTAAAAAACTCCAGAGTACCAGCTTTGACTGGAGATGATCTCTGATCACTTACATCACCTGAGGATGGGGCCAATAATTTGTTCTATACAGCGAATCTCAACAGAAAAATCTTATGTGTTTAAATTTTACTGTCCCTGTTTTCAGTGTTCTAAACCCCATGGACCTCAGCATCGTGCATGTTCTCAAACAGGACAGTGGTGTTCCTCCTGAAATCTTGCAGGACGCCTTTGATGGTGTTTTCAAGAGGAACACCAGGTTACAGTCCCAGGGCAGCAAGTGCCAATTTATTTATTGAAACCAATTCCAAATGCATCACTGAGAAAGTAACTGAAGTGAAACCTCTAAGGAGTTACTTTAGGACAAGTTTACACATATCATGAGGATAGTAAAGCCTCATTTTTTGTTCAGTCTCTGCTGTAAGAATGTGCTTCTGTTAGTGCAACACACGCACAACAAGGTCCATAATGCAGTAACAAGTATCGCATTGTAGATATATACTAAGGAAAGCACTACATCTCAACAGGAGTATTAGGGGCTGTGGTGGTCAGAGAATGAAGTGTATGAGGATGGTGAATCCTCAGGAAGGTCTTAGAATATTCTTACCATGCATGCTGAGAATGGCATCTCCACTCTTCACTGACAGAGCAACCTGCTTTTCTTCCTGAGAGTACTGTGGAGCAGATGGATGCTCCAGCAAGGGTGGCTTCACTGTGCTGAAGCCCATAGCCTGACTGCTAATTAAAGGTGGAATGGAACCCTTCCTCAGAGACCAGATCATTAGTTTTTAGGACAAAAATCTTGATTACAGAACGTGAGCTGACTTCAGATCCTAGAGCAAGCTTCCAGGATGCATTTAAACAGTGGAACCTCACTGTGCCATTATAGTCACTTTTGGGAGTACAGCTGCAGTTAAATTAGCTTTAAAATCCCACTGTATCTTACACATATGCTCAGTTTTCTGCAGTATTAATTTCAGTGGAACTACTCATGTGCATAAATTAAGCGCATGCTTAAATATATGCAAAATCTGAGCTCAAATGTCTAGAAAATATGTTCTCAAAATGACAAGTGCGCATAATAAAAATAGTCATCATGGGAGGTCTGTCAGACAGGGAATCCAGTATCTGCCAGCCATGATGAAAACACAGGACAGTTCTTGTAACCCAGTATGCACTGCAAGTGAAAGAAACATGCAGGAAGGAGTGAAAAAAGGGGATTCAGTTGCATGCAGTCTAATTTCAAGTGTGTAATTATGGTCCTGTTTTCTTTGGCCTAAAAAAAAAAAAAAGGGGGGGGGGAAAGAAATGAACAAACACCAACAAACCTCTCCTCACCTCCACAAACCCAAACTGCATACAGCTCAAAAAGGGCTTTAAAGCACACAAGTGGGGAAGTAAGAGATCTGAGTATCAGAGATGTGGAAGTAATTATTAACAGTTTCAGGGCTACTCAACACACCACTAGGAAAGCATTCAGCCTGTATCATTCCTAGAACTTACAGCTATGACAGAGAGCCATCAGTTAACTTCTCCTTCTTCCTCAATCTCAGGGAGAAGGACCACTTACATCTTTATGGAAGACAGAACAACAATCCCTGTTGATATTTTGGCTCCCTCCTCTTTAAGAGAAGGACACTGGACCCTCCAGCAAGCTGCTGTCTCTCCCCTCAGCCCAGAGAGCTCTATCTCACATCCCTGCCACCATTAAGGACCAGTGAGCTGTACTGGTGGGAGTGTTTCTCTGCTGCTCCTAAAAATGCTGCAAAGGTAGTATTCCTTACAGAAAACTCCAGGGGGGCAAGAAGGCCACCAAGTTGCTAACAGATTAAAAACAACACACATCCCCCCCCTTAACAAAAGGATTAAAAGGAAAAACGACTAAGGTCTGCAGGGGAGCTGGGAGGGTCAGAGAAGCTGGCTGCTCAATGAAAGGCAGTAGCAAGTATTCTGGGAGTTTGAATATCAAGCCTGGTATCAGCCTAATCGCCACCCTGAACAATCTCTCTGGTAGTGGTGTTTCAGCATGCAAATTAGAGCTGTGAAAAAATCCTCAGACCGAAACCCTCCCCTGTCTCTTCAGCCTTGTTTCGTCCTTTCCAGAAAAACCTATCTGTTGGTGTGTGATATGGTTACATATACAAAGATCTTTTTTCCTAGCCCTTTGATTACACAGGCTTGATTACTGTGAAGGGGTTTCAACGAGTAGTGTTCTGGAACTCAAAAGGCAATGGCTGCCTTTCAACAAAACAAAGCAAACAAAAACCGAGAGCTGTGCTGGAGGAGAGAAGTGCTGCTTCTGCAGGAGAGGCTCAGTTAGATACAGGAGGTGGCAGACCAGGGCGTCGAGTTTGAATGATTTTTGGCTTTGGAGAATTCTTTGGGTCCTCATCTTCTTCCATGTCGCTGTCGCAGACATGCACTACCACACTGGGAGTGGACTCTGTTCCTGCATGCAGCTCATACTTCTCTCCTGGAAGCAGAGGAAAACAGTTAGATCAAAAGACAACAACAGTCCACATAGTAGCACAGGCCATGGCACTCTTGGACTGCAGAATACTCCTGCACCTGGACGCGGCAGATGAGCTTGTGCTGCTCCTAAACGTAGGTGAGGGCAAGTATGGCTAGACTGCATCAGCTGCCACAACTGATTGATGACCTGGGTGGAGCATGATCATTGGTCTACAAGGCATAATAAAATACCCTGATGTCTGTACCCTGATTGGTGTTTTGCACCAATGTCAGTGGCCCATAGCATCAGTGGGGGAAGGACAAAGAGGAGAGAGAACATGGAAGTTCATGCTTAAGAACAGGGACTGGAGTCCAACCCCCCACATGTCTGGTCTTGAAGTCATGTCACACATGTTGGGTTGGGGCTGTCTTTTTCTGTTGTTGGCTCCAGTCCCATTTAAATCCCCTAGATTCTGCAGCTTGTCACCTCCAGAGAGACTTCAACACTTGGTCCAATTGCTCCACAAATACAAAAATACACATATCTGCTCTAGATGGATTTTGAAGTCCAAAGCTCTTTAGCTGCGGCTGTGACAAATTCTGTGTCTGCAGATGAGGTTACAGAGTACAGGGTATAAATGCTCACTAGCAGGCGAAACAATTAAACAGTACATTAGATTTGTTACCTACATACATTTCCTATTTAAGTCTGCACACAGGAAACCTGCAAGGAAGATAAGGGTGGCTTAGGTGGTTACCTGCAGGAGTCCACAAATGAAAATCAGGATCAACCATAGGACTTTCAGTCCTGCATTCAGTCTGTTGGCACTGCATTGTGTTTTGGACTGTACACATGATCTAGGTAGGTATTGGTTATTAGATTGCAAGGAATTTATTTAAGACTGTAAGGAAAATGTCCTAATGGTGACATGTCTGACAGCATGACTTAGTCTTTCAGAACTGACAAACACCCATTCACTGCACTACAAACTAGAAACCATTTGAGATAATGCCCTGTCCCCCTTGTCATCACTCTTATCTCCAAAGACCCACAAGTTACATTAAAACAGGCTTACAGTGACCATATGCACACCGCATAGCTTGGATTTTTTTCCATAAGACTGCTCCAGAACCACTGCTTTTTGCCTGCGAAATACTCTGAAATGAGGAAGGTGAGGTCCCAATATACTGAGCTGGCCTGAATTTGTGGTGCAGCAGCTCCTAAATGCCTGCATCACAGGCAGAGCCTGGCAGTGCTAGGTGTTGCACTATGAAAGTGAATGGCTGTTCTACCCCAAAGCACTTGTAGTTTGCTGGTGTTGTTAATTTGGGTTTCTATTTATTAGCAACTCTGTGGCAGAGTGATTCCTGTGAAGAAGAGGTTGCAGGTTTGTCCCCTCATTAGCACACGCAGTTCTGGGACTGTGCTCACATGCTGTTTGTGCTGACAAATTCTTGGTACAGATAGGACCAGGCAGCTTATGATTAGAGGACAGGCTGCATTTTTGCCTAAAAAATAGGAGGCAAACTAGTGAATAATAGCTGGAAGTCAGGCATCTTGCTGTGAGAAATATTTTACTGCTGTGATACCATTAATGTTGACATTTAACTGCTCTATTTTTGGCTACCTTTCCTCTGAATCCAAATTGAGCAAAGCATTACAGGTCTTGCTGATAGGCTGAAATATAAAAAGAGGAATAGCTTGGTTGTGCTGCACTGAGAAATTACACGGTTTTTCTTTGCCTATTTTCCCTGCGGGTTTCAGCTAATTTCTCAGCTCTGGGCTGACGTCAGTGCTGCCAACCAGCACTGAAGGCTACATTGGTCACTGTCAGCTACAAGCAGCTCTGCAGTGCTGCGCGCACGCAGCGCCAGGCCCTTTGCTCATACACCAGCACTGAGAAGTAAATCAGATTCGCTGCCCTCTTAAAAGGTAATAATCCCAGTTCAAGTGCCACATTCTTTTACTGTTCAAATCCTTCCCAGAAGGGCTCTTTCCGCTGAAAAAGAGCAGTGGAAATAAATACAGACACAAGGAAAAATATTCACATGCCTCTGGCACAAGTAACTGCAATAGCAATTAATGTCACTTTGCAAATCAAAATGCAATGCTCCCATAAATTAGGGTTTTAAGGCACACAGTTATTCCTGAGCATAAATGAGCTGCAGACTCAATTCTGTACTCACAATTATTCATGCCTGCAGAACTGTGGCTCAAACTGCAGAACACATTTTTATGGCTGAGCTAGGAACAGTAACTAAGGGACTACTATACAGCTGTACCTTGTTCCTAAAGGTAACCGTTGTTTGGGGAAAAATAATAGGGTAATAAGTACAAAATAAAAATCCATTAGGTACAGCCAGATTATATCTTCCCTTCTGCTTTTCACTACTTTTTTTTTTTCTTTCCTCTTAATGCCTTCAGCATGAAAAAATAACTAATTCCACAGCAGTTAAGCTACTGGAATAACGGTTGAATCACTGCAACTGAGATATAGCTACAAGCCATAGGTTGTCCCACACTAATAACAGCAGGTCAAGTTAGTATAGATAAGATTATTTAAATAATCACATAAGCTGAGGTAACAGTGGAAACTCACATAAATTTACTCAGAAAAATATCACCTGATTTATGCTCAAACATTTTAACTCTTTGGGTTACAACGCAGAGAAGAACTAAGCTGCAGCACCTCCACCACAGAGGCTTGTCAGAAAATGTTCCTAGCAAACCCCTGAAAATAGCAGCTATGTTCCTTTCCTTATTTGATAATAAGAAAACCCAGGAATTTGAAGTTTCACCATTCAGCAATGGGCCTAACTGCTTTTGTGTCACTTGGCACTACCTTTTGCGGCCACACTAACCACAAGCAAAGCTACAGCCTCAAGTGACACAACAGAGATGACCACAAGAACAGCACAAAAGCAGCACAGGGTATTTCAGAATTAGAAATAATGGTATGTGATTTTTCTATCCCTTTCTGGATCAGTACTGTGACCTTTCGTTGATGGTGCATCTCTAATCCAATGAGGCATTTTTGTCCAGCAAAAAGGATATTCATATATTTAATTAATAATGAAGAAATGGTAATGTACTGTGCAGTTACCTCATCCCTGGTTCTGACTCATGATCAAAGGTTAATGGGTTCAGAGCTGGCCATTCCATCTTAACTGTGTCACTGCCTTTATAAAAAGACCTTCCACACTTATAGTCTCTTAACCCAAGTGCTTTACAAATAATATGGTGCAAATAATGTTGGTCCTTTGTATGGGTGTATGTTTATGCCAAGGAGAACCCATCCCATGTAAAACTTCTTCTGTATGGGTCTGCCATACACAAGAGAGGAGTTGCTTTCTTGAAGCCCATTGCTGATATTGCAGAAGGGCACCCTCCTCTCCTGGCCAGAAGAAGGCAGAGGGAAAGCTTTGTACACCCAGCAGCTCTCCTGCACCTGCCCCTGGCAAGAGGAGGGAAGTAAAGAAGCAGCCACAGAACAGAGGGGAGAGGAAGGACAGAGATGGAAAATGTTACCTATCACCCATCTTCCTGCCCCTCCAACCCCTTTAAATCCTCTCTGGAAGCCATGCAAGGTATTTAGCATTTCCTTTGAATCATTGAGAACAAACAGGAGGGTTTGACAACAGCTGGGCATGGAAAACTTGCCATGGGAGACACAGTTTTAAATCCCTGTGTGTGGCATTTTCTGGGTAGGGTCCTGCTCTTCCCTTTCCCCATGCAAGGGTGAACCAAACCCAGGGGCAAGAGCTATGCATCCTCCTCGAGGAAGCCAGCAGGACCATGGCAGGAACAGCCACACCTTAACTGCTCAAAGAACAATGAAGCCCTGACCCAACCCCTCTTCTGCCCACTGATCATTCACAGACCCAGCAGCCAAGTGATACAGCCTGCTGCAGGGCCTCCTCTGCGTACCCAGAGATACCACTGTGTACGCAAGAGCCATCATGTGCCATACTCTGGAATGGTGCTTTCATAGTGTGAAAAAATGTGCTTTACATGACCTGGAGTGTAGCCTGAGGGCACTGAGGAGGTGCAAAGCCTGCTGGAATGCTGATGACAGAGTGGGAAACAGAGAGAACTGAAACTGGTACAAACTTGTCTATAGAGATGGTGCCCAGCCTGCACTGGTTTTCAAACGTGCCTGAAATCGTGGGGACAAGTGCTAACTGACAGAGGGCAAAATCACACTGGGGAGCACATGGAGCAGGTGAGTGCTCAGGACCCTGACCCACAGTGTGTATTACTGTATAGTGTGTGTTACCGTACAGTGCAGAAGAAATTGAGGTAGCAGTTTTGAAAGAGGCAGTGGGGGTAAGAAGGGAAGAAATATGCAGGTTAGGAAGTGGATAGGGAGACTGCTTTCCAGATAAGGAGGGGCTTATTTTAGTGCCATGAGGATGGTTCATAAACCGCTCCACAAACAAATGGCAGAGCAAACATAGCTGCCTTTTCTTTGCTAGGAGCAGCTCTGCTGTTTATACATAGCCTGGACCTGGACATTGCCCCTGCATCCCCCTTACAAACATTTCTCATATGAAATTATTTCCTGTGTTCCTCAGCAGGATGAAACTAAGACCTTATAAAACATGGAAAAAAACACGAGGGCTTAGACTAGGCAACAGCTTGGTAGCTTGCAAGCATTTCTGTAGAAAAGACTTAGGTGACAGCCAGACCAAGCAGAGACAGAACCTGGGCCTGGAGGGCAAACAGCCGAACTACCACCCCAGTTAGTGCAATGCTTTTATACCTTTAACAAGCTAGTGGAAGTTCTCTTGACAGTGGAAGTGTTTTTCATCAGAGAGATTAACATCACGCTTCTTTATTTGAAGTATATTGGAAAAATCCTAGGCTGGTGGTCAGAACCAGGCACAGTTCCTGGCTCTGACTGGTCTACAGCATTCTGTTCATGCCTTATTTAAAGCTCAACTTCTGCATTTGCATAGAGTGACAATATACATCAATCAACCAGAAACTTCATTAAATATGCCATGACCCTCCCTAAGAAGTAAATGCACCCTCACTGATCTTAATTTAATGTTGAAGGACCACAAGCCAGCTTCCCTTTGTGCACAGCAGAAAGAAATCTTTTCCATTAAAGCTCTGAAATGCCAAACAGCCACTGCTGTAAGCCACAAGGAAAAAGAGAACACGTAGCAAATCTGTTAACTAGCTATCATTCTATTCACTTTACTCCAAAGCCAATGTCCCAGCCTTTGTGCCCAGGATAGAGAGGAGATGACCTGTACTCATGGAAGGGGAAAGTAGCACGGGTCTGTTTCCAAGTGGTGTATCTCACACTACCAGCAAAGTAAGTCAGTAAAACCCATCTTATATCGAGGAGATAGAAATAAACTGTTCACTATTTACATGCTTAAATGAGTTTTCCTGGTACTTGGATATTGTCACATGTTAAAGACATAGAAGTCAGGCTCCAACATTCAGAGTTAGTGAGCATTTTTTCAATAGCTGTTAACCATAGTTACATGTTTTAATCGTATTTCTTGAATGAAAATAAAGGATCTAACATAGCTGAGGCCTGCAGTTGATGTACAGCACTGTGTTTTACTGATTTCCTACTGAGAAATGAGGTTTGGTGGATTTGTTTTCAATGGGATGCTAAACATAGTAAATGCACAACTGAGAACTGCAACACTATTTTAAACCCAGCACTGCAGTTAACTAAAATTGATCCCTCTAACAAGTGCTAAAAATAGAAAGACGAGAGCACGCCATGACTTTTCATATTGCTCCCTGCAGGCTCCTTAACTACGGGTGAATATGACCTTCATGCAAAGCCGTCCCAGAGTGTGGGACAATGAGTGATATTTCACATTCCGCTGCTCCAGAACAGGAATTGATTTATTACCCAGCCAGCTCGGGAATTCGTTTATGTGTTTCCATTTATAACAGTGTCACATCAAAGGAAAAAAAACCCAAAACAAAAAGGAGGCTTTTTTTTCTCTTTTTCATTTATTCAGCAGTTTATAAGTAAAGTATCAATTCTGGAAATGATAATATGCAATACAGTATGAAGCGTCATGCCTGACAACCTTTTTCTAGGAGCTGTCCTGCTGAAGGGGAATAAGCCACAGGAATCTCTGATGTTCTCCTGATAATGTATTTTCCCCCTGTGAGAGATCCCATGTGAAAAAGATGTGAGATAATCCTGCACCTCAGCTCTGGGTTACTCTGGTACAGCTACACAAAGGCCCCAGTGATAAGATGTTTGCAGTTGGAAGCTACTCTCAGAACAAGCAAGCAGCATGTTTGGTTCAACTGCAGAAAAAATAATCCCCTCATCCCACTAGAATTTAAAAACTAAACTGATAAATTTTCATTAGCTCAGCAACCCCACAACTGTTATTAGATTGCATCTGAAGTGTTTTATTTCAGTATGAAAGTAATTTAATAAGCTATTTTTCCTTGTGGTTTATGAATGTAAATTAGACCAGTTTCTAAATAATACTGCTTAGACCTGAAACTGGAACCTTTTCCATTCTGAAAATTCTAAAAGACAGTGCTTTAACAGCTTGAAAGAAAACTGTTGTTAAAGATGCCTTAAAACAAAAATAATCCTCTCCTAGGAAAAATTTGGTTTCACCAGTTGAGCATTTTCTAAGGTAAAGCATTGTTCTGAAAATCCCAGCTAGCTTCACTTCCTGGCATTAGCTGAAGATGGGAAGAGAGATGAAAGCCTACCAGCATTACCCACTGACATTCATCTTATGTTCACAGAGGTTACATTCCTCCTCCACACAGTTTACAACAGAAAACGGGCAGTCCTAAGAGAGCAACCCTGCCAGGATTGGGGAATAGCCGTTCACTCCAGGGGAAATGCAGCGATGCCTAAACATTACATAAGGTATTCTGCACCTTAGAATGCAGTACTGAGCAGATGTGATTTAAAGCAAAAAACTCTAGTTCATGGACAAACATTTGTCCAGTCCACCAGTTGCCTCATCTAAGCACAGACCCAAGCATAATAAAATGTGTAAGCAGGCTTTGATATGCTATTCAGTCAGGCATCACTAATGAGCTGCAAATAGAATTCTGTATGTATATATGGTAAAATTAATCCTTAAGCAAAGAACCAGTTGACATGCACCAACTTACATCCAAAGCTTTAATGCCACTTACAGGCTTTACGCCAACTTCCTTACAGTTATTATTTACGCTGCTATTTCTCGTCTCCTTTTTCTGACACATTTTCACACAAGAGCCACATGCTTACCTGGTCCTAGCTTAGAAACTGCATAAAGGAGGTCGTAGTTGATGACAGGTGTTGCATCATCTATTGGTTGCCACCCTACAGGTGGGGAGGCTGGAGGCGAGATGAGAAACTGTTTTGCAGGCTGCGGTGGTGCCAAATGAAGCTTGTCTCCATCTGTCTCAGAGGTCTGAATCTTTAAAGAATAACACTGTTTAGTATAGGGTAGAATCATACAATAGCTTGGGTTGGAAGGGACCTTTAACAGTCATCTCATCCAACCCCCCATGCAGGGACATCTTCCACTAGACCAGGTTGCTCAGAGCCTTGTCCAACCTGACCTTGACTATTTTCAGGGATGGGAAATCAATCACCTCTCTCTGTATAACCTGTGCCAGTATCTCACCACCCTCACTGTAAACAATTTCTTACTCACATATAGTCTCACTCTCCCCTCTATCAGTTTAAAGCCATTTATCCCTCGTCCTGTCCCTACAGGCCCTTGTAGAAAGCACGTCTCCAGATTTCTTGTCAGCCCCTTTAGGCACTGGAGCTGTTCCAAGGTCTCCCTGAAGCCTTCTCCAGGCTGAACAAGTCCAGCTTTCTCAGCCTGTCTCCATAGCCGAGGTGTTCCAGCCCTCTGAGCATCTTCGTGGCCTCTGGCCTTTCTCCAACAGCTCCACCTCTTTATGTTGGAGCCCCCAGAGCTGAACACAATACTCCAAGTGGGGTCTCACAAGAGCGAAGTGGGAGAATCCCCTCCCTCAACCTGCTGGTCACACTGCTGGTGATGCAGCCCTGGGCACAGTTGTTTTTTCCAGACTGCGAGGGCACATTGCTAGCTCATGTCCAGCTTTTCATCCACATGGGATGGGTAAACAAAATGATTACTCAAATCATACACTTCCAATGCCAAATGCCACCCAGAGAGGGTTTCAGTGTCAGTCTCAACAGAGAAGGTCTGGAGATGAATTTCATTTAAATGCTACAGATGGTTCCTCTACAGTAAATGCACTGGGTGGGGGGGGGGGGGGGGAGGGGGGGGGTTATATGAACAAAGCTACATGTTTGTGCCTATTGTATATGTTCTGTGAGGATAAATGCAAAGCTTTGGTATCCACACCTGCTAGTTCAGAGATTTTTGAGGCTGAAAAGACATTGTTGTGATCTACTGGTCTAAATTCCTAAATAAAAACAGACATTAGACAAGAAATCAGTAACTCCTGCATCAAGGCCTTATAAGTAACTTCAGAAAGATTTCTGAAGATCCGATTTCTTTAGCTGAAGTGATAAAGGAATCTATCACGTTTCTTAGTCATTTGCAACTAGTTGTTCTCATTTCATTTCCATCTTAAATTATGTAGTTACTGCCCTTTTCTGGTATATTAAAGAAGGTTCCACATACTTAAACAAGTTTACAACCACCTTGAGCCCAAAAGCAGTAACCTGCATTTGCATGACAGCGAGCTTGAGACAGCAGCCTCCCATACCAGAACAGGCTTTACAAAGATTCAGTAAAAGTAAAGATTGGTCCTCTCAACTCCATGTTCCTCAGAAATTCTAGCTCTTGAAGTGCTTATTCAGACTGGCTCAGGCCCATGTAAAGACACACTGCTCCAAACAGTGTGCTGCTTCCTCATATCCATTCCCTGGACACAACTAACAGGCTCTTTTGAGGCTGCATATACTGGAGAGCATAGTGTAGATACCTAAATGGCTTTGCAGGAAATCAACTTAGATATAGAGACTAATCACTGTTATGCACATTCTTCTTTTCCTTGTGCTACCCAAGTTTTCAATTAACCTCTTGGTAGTGCAGTTGGAGTGAAATGATGCTCAGATCTACTTAACAGCAGGTTTTGAGACCTTTCAGAAAACAAAAAAAAATCAGAGCCAGATCTAGAGATTAAGGCATCTAAAATGGGATTGAGGCAGCTTTTCAACACCTAAAGCTAACTGTAAAGTCTTCTGAACTCATTTAACCTGTTAAACATACTGTTTTGTTTCGTTTCTTTCACCAATGTAGTTTTCCATCCTCCCAAGGTCCTGCTTCTGTCTAGGCTTAAATCAGCTCTTATTCTGACCAGGCTGCAGAAGTTCAGAATTCAGCTGCCTCTTGGGCTTGACTGACACCTTTCAATAAGCCTACTTTTAACCCCAGAGCTCTGAAGGACCAATCTAGCAGCTCAAAGCACACTTATGTTGCTTATGAGCACCAGTGAGTATCTCGTAAGCCGCAGTGGCCACAGCAATTAATTAAAATACATCCAGAAGAGGTGGTGGCCAGGTTCTCAGCCTCCCTCACCTTTCTGTACCCTGGATGAGGCCTAGTACTCACCTAGGCTGTGGGAGATCTGGCTTCTCTATTTCTTGGCCATGGAGAATCAAATCCTCAACTGACCCTTCCAACAGATGGATTTAATCACCTATGCCCACAGGCTGGGGGTATGGCTTTTCCTGTACTTTCTTCCTTTTACTGATACTTACTTAATTCCTTTTAGAAAATTCACACATGTATGCAGTAAGAATAAAACAAAAAGGGGAGGAGAAGGAAGCCTGACTATGGCTCAGGGATACAGTCAAGTAAGTAATTCAGCCCTACCTTTTTTTTAAGAACTTATGATACTTCACATTACCACGCTTTTATGGTGTACAGAGTTACTCACAGAAATTACCCAGTGTTGTAAAATCAGTTCTAAGCCACGTAACCTCTGTGTGTTGAATAAGCAACTTGGGTCCTGAGTGGTCCTTTAAATTTACTGCAGGCCCACTGGTCAGGTACAGCTCAGGCAACATAAGGACATTTGGGAAATCTTTTAGCAGAGAGATTGGACATGGGAGAAACCTGTATTACTTTTATACAGTGTTACTGCTCAATACTTCTATAAAAGCACTAACAGAAACAGACACCAGATTTCATTACCTGTGCAAAATACAACTTTAACTTCTTCCCTCTGAACTGTGTTTCATGCAGCTCTATTCTGGCACGAGCAGCTGATTTGGGACTACTGAAGTTTATCCGCACACGCCTGAAGCTTTTGAAGAGCTGGAATGTCACGCAGTCATCGTAGGCACGGAACAAGCCTTCAAATTTCTCCTGCAGATGGAAAAGAAAGAAAGAATGCTGAGCATTTACTTTGCACTCCACCACATCAGTCTGTGTCAAAGGATCATCTGAAACTTGACAACTGTTTAACCAAGGGGCTTCAGCCTGTGGCCTTTGGGGGTGACTGTCCACAGACTAGCAAAGGGTCTGTGAAAAGAACCTAAGGAAAGCACTGGTCTGGAAGCGCTCTGCAAAATGTTCAGGGGAAGGATTCTTCAAATTGAGAACCCAGAAGCTACTGAACTCATTAAAGTTGAGCGAAACTGCAACAGTGACTTACGGATTGAAGCTGAAAAGGGTGCATGACTGAAAATACCAGACAACTGTGGTCTCATCTGTGCAAAAGCAGGCATTGTGCTGAATCACAATGGAGTCAGCAGACAAAGTCAGGTTCATTGTAACTGAGGGCTACATTCACATCAACACAGCAGGGTTATTTGGTTATGGTTTTTTGATGCTTCTGTCATTTAAATACTTAGCACAGATACACTCATTTCTTGAGAGTTCTTGTAGCAGCATGGAAAAAAGCTAGGGAGCTGAAAACAGTCACCTGACCCAAAGACAAATTTCAGGCTTCAAAACGTTTAGTTGTAGAACCACTTTCAAAAGCAGATGACACAACTGTGAATATTTTAATACTGTAAAGGAAAGGTCTGAGGTGTTGCACATCTATGGACCTAGAGATCAACAGAAATTCAAGGTTCATTAGGAGCCTTGGAGGATCAGACTTTCTCTGCAATTTCTCTGTAAATATGCAAACACAGAGGACTAGTTCCAAATCATCAAATAAAACCAAACTCTTTACATCAGTTCTGAGACACTTGCACAGGTCGTTTCATTCATAAACATAGATTCATGAAGTGTTAAGACTGAAGGGGAGCAGTTACTATTTAGTGTCTACTTTGTGTCTACTGAGACTTTCGACTGCCATCCAGTGAGTCTCACATAAAGTTCTAGCATTTTAACTACTGTAACCAAGACTTAAAGTCTTTGAAGATGGAGACTCAGCCTGAGCAAAGCTCTTTCTTTTAAGGGTTCTTTATCCTGAAAACAAAGTGTTTGAGACGATTTGCCACACCATTTCATACACTGAGCACTGTTACGTCAGCTGTTTGTAGAATTCCAACAACCTGATGTTTCCTTTGATACATCTGCAAATAAGCTTTAACATATAACTTATTTTCTTCTCACCCAGGAAAACAGTTTATTTTCTCTTTGAGTGGATAAGTTGCTAAGGCTGCATAAGATGAAATAGAAAATGCAATTTATGTAATCTCATCAAGACCTCAGTTCTCATCTGCTGATCATACTAAGTGAAGCAAAGAATCCAGAACTTAGAAAAATCACAGAATAGTTTGGGTTAGAAGAAACCTTAAAGCTTATCTAATTCCAATCCTCTGCCAAGGTGTTCCTACCTTCCACTAGACCAGGTTGCTCAAAGCCCTGTCCAACCTGGCCTTGAACACTGCCAGGGATGGGACAGCCACAGCTTCTCTGGGCATCCTGTGCCAGTGCCTCACCACCCTCACAGGGAAGAACTTCTGTCTTTCAAAGGAACCTCCCTGTGGTCTATTAAGCTTTCATGATTTTCATTTCATCTGACCTCACCCACCCCTTCCTCTCAGCACAGGACATACTTCAGAGGAATAAACAAAAAAAGAGGAGAAAAAAGAGAAGAAAAAAGAGAGGAGAGAGCTCAATGGCTGGTCAAGGGGAATAATGGCAAGCAGTAATCCCACAGACATCATGGTGTTGACAAGTATTCAAGGTACTATAACAGAAGTCACACACGCTAAAAATAAGCAGCAAAGTGAACATTTCCTAGTCATGAACATTTCCTCGCCCCTTGTAGTAGCTCTCAGTTTCCCTACAAGTCAACAATAAAATCATTCATCATATAAAAAAAATTTCTCCAACCATGGAAGAAACCATGCACAGGCTTGTCTGGCAACTGGGAAGTAATTATTTATTATCACTTACTGTTTGTTAGGAAACAGATTCTCCCTCTATTGAAACAATGCTATTTTCTTGTCTTTTGTGCCTGCCCTCTTTGCAACACTCCAGAATGCAGAAGAAGGGAAGACGCGAGTTCAAATTTGGGCCCAAGAACAGTGAGCACAAGGAATGTTTTGGGCACATTTCTGGACAATAATGAGACCGACTTCCATTAGGCACCGAAAGGGAAAGATGGGAGTATCTCTAAATAAAGCTGATTAAATACTGGACACCAAACGTAATACAGGGAGAACATTACAGTGCTATGGCTTTATTCTGCTTACTTTTCTGTTTGATACTGGCACAGCTTTAGAGATTCAGCTTTGATTAATGCTCCAAAAAATACCGTGGGGAGCAGGGAAATCAAGGCCTCTATTTGATACTAATACAGGGCAGTCTGTCCACAGTGGGACACACCTGCTGCACTGACTGAAACTGCATCTCCCATTAAAAAGATTCACATATCTGAATTTTCTCCATTTTCAGCTGATAATAATAATGACCTCAGCAGAGGTCATTAATCATCAACTGCAATTAATGGCCCTCGGCTGCATTTAGAGCCATCCCAGCTCCTCCTAGTTTGATATTAATTCCCAGGAAATGCCTTATGCCTTAATTGCTATTGCCTGTGATTTCTAATATCTGCTGAATGTACTTATCTGGATAAAAGTCTTTCAGACTCATTGCAACCTATAAGAAAATGTATCATACGCATTTTAAAGACTTAAGAAAATTCTCTCCCTTTCAAGTTTTGTGGATAAATTATTCAGGACTCATAATCCTCTCAATTCAGGACTTTTAGGATTCAGTATTCTTTAAATACTTCTAGAAAATGTGCCTCTGAACTCTCAGAATACTTAGAAAACTCTTGAAAATAAAGCAATGTCCGAAGTTGAGCAGCAGCATTGCTACTCTTAAAAAAGTCAAAATGCAGAAAGTCATGAGTTAGGCATTTATTTCTGGGATTTTGGACTGTCTTCATTCATCCCAAGTGTGTCTCTGTGAGACCTGATCTGCTCTGGCAAAGGCGAGTACTTTTCAGTTGGCCAGTGCTGCAGAAGTTTTCTTTTCTCTCTCGTAGGTTCCGAGCCATCTCATCATCTTGCTATTCCTTTGCTAACACCAGGCACCTTTCCCCAGTTCTTCCCTGTCACCTTACATCAGCTCTCATCCCCCATCATTCACCACCTCTAGCAGTTTCTAAAGTTCTTTTATTTTTTCATTAACAGAATTAGCACAAAGTGCGCACACACTAATTGAGGCTGCTGGTTACTCAAGCTTGATTGTTATCATTTATGACAGCCAATGCAAAGGACAAACAGAGCACCACCCATGGAAGAAATGAGCACTGGTGTGATAGGCATGAGGTAAAAGCTTCAGAGTACAAGGGCAAAGCTATGCACTCCTGGACTAAAAACTATCAGTACTACTAAAGGGGAGCTCACCTGGGATCCAAGATCCTGTCAGTCACATGATAAAAGTCATCAGTGAAATGCAGCCATAAGGAAGCAAACAAAATACTGAATGTATCTGGAAAAGTATTTCCAGTAAAGCAAGGAAGCTATTGACAACATTGTATAGAGCACTATTACATGTTATTAAAAATGCAGGGTTTGTTGCCTGTATCCCAGATAGATTAAGCCAAACACGAATAGGTTCAGATAAAGACTACAGGGAATTAAAGACTTAGTGAATAAGAAATGAAAATGCTTGGCCTATTTAGCAAAACAAAGCAAAACCTGAGAGGAGATGGGACAATCATCAGTAGTTTACCAGAACTGTACAGAATAAAGACAAAGTATACTGTGCAGAGTACACACTAAGCGACTATGTAGGCATGAATCAAGTGGAAACAACTGACATAAATAGGTGTAGCTCTGAAGTTAAAGAAGGTTTCAAACATCAGAGTATTGATCCAGAAACAAACTTCCGATCGCAGCAGTGTGGAAAATGATTTTTTTTTAATAAAGATTGAATTTGGTTAGTTGATGGGAGGGACTATGATGAAGTATCCCAACAAGCACTGTAAAACATGACTGCCTGAATTAGCAAGTGAATTGGGCTCTGACACAGCAAGTTCCTGTGATGTATTTCCAAACATTTCTTTCATGAATAGCTCCATTGCTATTGTGTTAATTCAGGACAAAAGCCAAGGCCTAATTCAGTTCAATGGAAGTCTTTCCACAGACATCAGTGAGTGCTGGATTAGAGCCCTATAACTCAGAACACAAATTACATTTTATTATTCAGTGTGTTTACACTCATTATCACCCTTGTTACACATTTGATTTAGGAGATGGCTGCGATTTAAAACTTTCCTAGAGTTTTGCAGTCAAGGCTGCCTGGAAACCTCATAGCAGCCTTCCAGGATCTGAAGGGAGCCTATAACAGTGCTGGGGAGGGACTCTTCACTAGAGACTGTAGTGATAGGACAAGGGGTAACGGGTTAAAACTTAAGCAGGGGAAGTTTAAATTGGATATAAGGAGGAAATTCTTTCCTGTTAGGGTAGTGAGGCACTGGAAAGGGCTACCCAGGGAAGTTGTGAATGCTCCATCCCTGGCGGTGTTCAAGGCCAGGTTGGACAGAGCCTTGCGTTGCATGGTTTAGTGTAAGGTGTCCCTGCCCATGGCAGGGGGTTGGAACTTGATGATCTTAAGGTCCTTTCCAACCCTCACTGTTCTATGATTCTGTGATTCTAAATACAGCAAGCATTTTCCCCATTTTAGTTTTTCCTGTTCATTTATATGAAGATAATGCAAGGAACTAAAGGCATACAATAGAGAAACAGAGTCATAATTTACAGTTATAGAATCATAGAATAGTTTGGGTTGGAAACGACCTTAATATCATCTAGTTCCAAGCCCCCTATCTTGGGCAGGGACACCACACACTAGACCATCAAATATGTTTTTCTTGAAATTAGCTCTGTACCACATACAAATTTGCCTTTAAGAAATAAACTCATATCTCACAGTGGAATGTTGTCTGTTTACAC